CGCAGCCCCTCCGGCAATGAAGGGGGGCAGGGCGGCAGCCCCCGGAGGAAGGGTGGCGTCAGGGTGGTGGTAGTGGCGGCGGTGGTGGTGGGGCTGCTGCTTTGGTGTGTGTGTGTGGGGGGGGGGGTTGAGGGGGGAGGCAGGTGTACGGCGCGCCGGGATGCGTTTCGTGTTTGGGGACGGGCACGCACACACAGCCAGGTGCCCTCCAGCAGACCCCGGGCCGTCGCCCATACGGCCTCCCCGCCCACTCCCGCCCACCCACCGCCGCCACCGCCCCACCGGCACCCGCCCGCGCGCCGCGCGGCGCCCCACCTGCGACAGCGGCACCAGGAAGAGCTGGCCGTGGGCGGAGTAGGTGCCGTTGGGGCACCAGAGGCGGGGGAAGTGCTCGAGGCCGTCGTCGGGGGGCTCGCCGCCGCCGGCCAGGAACTCCAGATTCTTGTCCTCGTCGGCTTCTAGATACTGCAGGTCGTCCTGCAGTACCATGTACGGGATGGTACAGTACCGTGCAGTACCAAACGCTGGCAGCGGGGCAGGGCCGTGCCGGTCCTGGCAGCGGAAGCGTGGGCGGGCATGCAGATGCGGCGCCGGGCGAGCCCAGGGCAGCGACGAAGCAGGTGCAGCAGGCGCAGCAGGCACAGCAGCATGCCAGCGGCTGCCAGCTCAGCAGGGAGGGGCTGGGCTGGGCCGGGCTGGGCAGGCGGCGGCAGGCGCACCGGGGAGGGCAGGGGGCGGCAGGGGCTGCTCCAGGCCATGGCAAACCAGATGGAAGCTGTGATGAAGCTGAGGCACATCACCTCTGCCAGCCGCTTCCAGGGGGATCTGTGGGGGCAGGTGGGGCAGAGTGCAGGTTGGTGTTGAAGGCGGGGCAAGGCGGGGGGCAGGGTGCAGGTTGGTGTGGAAGGCGGGGCAAGGTGGGGCAGCGGTGGTCGCGCGTCAATATCTCAGCGCGAACACCCCCAACGGGTGCCTGATGCTCGAGCGAGTGCCGTGCTCGCAGCATCCGAGAACATGCTGCCTGCGCTGGCCTGAACCTTTCTGCAGTGCCTGGCCCCCACCCCACCCCGCACCATCCCACACACTCGCCTAAAGGGTATGTGCTTATGCCGGAAGGTGGTGACCCGTACGTTGAGATGGATGAAGAGAGCCCCCAGCAGGCCGCCCAGCGCGCCTGCAGGCGCACCGCGGGGCGCGACGCGGGGCAGCGCAGGCGCGGTCGGCGGCGCCGACGCGTCGGCGGCGTGGCGCCGGGGGCGCAGCCGCGGCGCGGGCGTGGCGCCTTGCGAGCCACCACTCGTGTTCCCTGACGGATGCGTGCCTCAACCGCTTGCCGCCGCCGCCACACCCATGCACACCAGCTGCCACCCACCCATACACCACTAGCCACCTACAGCAGAAGATGGGCGCCACCCATGCACAACCACCAGCCACCCACTTACCCGGCAGAACATCCTCTCCCCCATTGGCGCCACGCATGCACACCACCCACCGCCACACCACCAGCCACCCGCCCACCTATGCAGCAGAAGATGGGCGCCACCCACCGACCCACCACCACCCACCTACCACCCACCTATGCAGCAGAAGATGGGCACGTCCCACACATGATAGAACATACGGGAGCCGTAGGCGGCAAAGTTGTCGGTGTACAGGCCTGCAGGGGACAGGGAAAAAAAAAAACAAAAAAAAACATAGGCGGGCGAACGGGCGGGCCGGAGCACGGCGATTGCTGGGGGGCATCAGCGCTGGCGCAGACGCAGCCTCCACAACCCCACACCCCACACACGCGGGAGCGCATGCAGCCGCGCCTCCGCCGGCCACCCCATGCGCCTCCCAGCGGCCGCCCACCAAAGTCTCGGAACCGCCCAAACTTGGTTGCCATGAGGCGCCCCGGGTGGTCCTTGGCATCCGCCAGGATGTGCAGCGTCAGCACGCCTGCAGACGCAGGCGCAGCGCAGCGCAGCGCGGCGCAGCGCAGCGCAGCATGGCAGAGCACGAAGCGTCAGGGCCAGGCTCCACACCGTTCACAACACAAACACCGGCACAGCGGGCTGGGAGCAGCCGTGTCTGCGCTGCTGCCAGCCCGCCGCTCCAACTCTTAGCCAGTGCTGTTCCTTGGAACTCTACGGAACTCCATGGGTATTCCCAGCAGCTGAATCCGCTATGCAAGTCATGGCAAGTCGCGTCCGGGCTGGCGGCGAGCACCCAAACCCCTAACCCACCCACGCAGGTGGCCAGGAAGCCCCTCCAGAAGATGGAGGTGGAGTAGAAGGAGACGCCCTCCTCGATGCAAAACAGCAGGCCGCCTGGGGGGGCAGGAGGAAGGGCGGAGGGGAGGCGCGCGGTGCACGCGTCACGTCGGGCGCGCGGTCGGCCTCCCGGGAGGTGTAAGGAGAGCATTTGGAGCAATTGCACATGCAGACAGGCCGGCAGGCAGGCTCAGGCCGCGCTCCTCCGCAGCCCCCGCTGCCCCCGCAACAAGCACGCGCTGCCGACGGGAGCAGGCCGCGTGCCCGGCCTGCCCAGCCTCCCCCGCGGGCGCACCGATGGGCGCGGCAAAGGCGGTGGCCACGCCCGCGGCGGTGCCGATGGCGGCAAAGTCGCGGTGGTCTGCCGCGTTGCGGAAGTAGCCGCCCAGCATGTGAGGCGCCTTGACCTCGCGCCGCCAGCGCAGCCACTGCGGCGGGGGTCGGGCGCGGTGTGTGCGTGCATTTGTGAGCGTTTGTGTGGTGGGGAGCGGGGGTGACGGGACGATGGGATTGCGTGCTGAAATGCTATGGATGCAGGCAGGCAGGGGAGGGAGACGGCGAGGCACGCCATCCTCAGCGGCACCCCGCACCGCCTGCCGCCGCTGCCGGCTCGCCTGCGTGATGGACTGGGAGCCCATGCCGCCGATACCGCCCCCCACGATGCCGCCGCCGTGCACAAAGGGGCCCTCCTTGCTGCGGCGGCGCGGGGGAGGGGCACGCCCGTCGAACCAAGCAACCAAGCCCCCAAAAGCCACCCACCCCGCCCCCGCTTTCACCTTCTTCCCAACCCACCAACCACTCCACCCCCGTCCTGCACGCAGCAGCAGCCCCACCCCACCCCACACCTGCTACATCACCCCACACCTGCGGCCAGCCCCCACCCACCTATGCCTACCTCACACCCGCACCTACGGCCAGCCCCCCCAGATACCCACCCGCGATGAGCCCGGCAGCTATGGAGAAGGTGATGCCCGACAGCTTGGCGGCCAGGGTGCGTATGGTCAGCAGGCCCTTGATGTGCACCCCATTCAGGTACGTCTTCACCTCGGGGATGCCGCTGCCCGCCGCCAGCGGCTCCACAAAGCTGCCGAAGCGGGAGAAGTGTGGAGGGGACGCAGGGGGTGTTGTGCCGGCAGGGCAGGTATCACCCGGGTCAGGCAGCCAGGCGATGCGGGGCCGCGAGGTGGGCGGGCGGGTGGCTGTGGCGGCGAAAACGTTGGCAGAGGAGAGGCCGGGCACCCTTGTATGCAGATGCACGCGGCTGCAGCCAGCACCAGGCAGCGGCAGCCGGCACCAGGCAGCGGCAGCCAGCACCGGGCAGCGCACGCCACGCAGCGGGGTGCGCACCTGACCAGGCTGCCAGCCACCAGGGCAAACATGAGGCTGATGCCAACGTGTGTGAGGTATGGCGCCACAAAGCCGCCTGCAGGCAGCCAGGGGTCAGCCACACGCCGCTGCATTCAGCAAAGCAGCCCATGTGCCGCTCCGTTGACGGCAGCTGCCGGGGCCAGCCCAGAGCGTCACCCAGCCGCTGCAGGGGCAGACAGGTGCATGCACCTATGGCGCCTGCCCAGCCGGGTCCAGCCGCCGGCTGCCGCTCCTGACGACGGTGGGCTGCACTGCCTGCCTTGTACCGCCGCCAGCCTGGCGCCTCACCCGACTCTGCCACAGCCGCCCGCACGGTGGCAAACTTGAAGCCGTTCATGGCCTCTATTCCCCAGTCAACCAAGAACGCTAGCACACCCATCACCGCTCCAATCAGGATGGACAGCAGCCACTTCCAGGTCTCTGCAGCAGCAGCCGGGCGGCAGGCAGGTGAGCAAGGCAGCGCGGCGCACCACCCCGCCAGCGGGCAGCTGTGTGGGGCCGGCCGGTCGCGCAACACGGCAGCAGCAGGGAGGCAGCAGCGGCGCCAGGCAGCGGTGGCCGCACCCGCTGTGGCGTAATCGTGCTCCGAGCGGTGCACCGCAAACTCCCGCTGAAGGTCGTTTTCCTGCGCCAGATGCCATGTCAGCAGCCATGTCAGCAGCCAGGTCAGCAGCCAGGTCGCCAGCGGCAGCCGGGCAGCGGATCAACTCCCTGCGCTGCCCCAGGCCAGCAAACGGGCTGGGGCCAGGGATGCAGCACAGCGCTGCCCCTGCCAGCTACCCTCTCCCCTTCCCCAGCCAGCTGCCTCCTTGCGGCCAAGGATACAGCAAAGCGGTGCCCCTGCCAGCTCCCCTGCCAGCTGCCTCCTTTCCCAGCTGCCCCCCCCTCTCACCACAGGGTCGAAATCCTGGGCCTCAAACCCGGCCATGCGCTTCAGCCGCCCCAGCGTCTCCCGGCTCTCCTCGGCATCCTGCAGGCAGGCGGGTGGGTAGGCGGGCAGGCGGGCAGGCAGGCTGGGCAGAGGCCTGGGCTGGCGTGGAGGGAAGGTGACAGGGTCAGGCAGATCGCTGCAGCGCTCGCAGCTTCACTGCCAGCTTCCGTATCAGCCCTGCTGGAGTCACACACGGTGCAGCCTGCCCGCTGGCCAGCGGGAATGCCCGCCGCCGGCGGCGGCGGCGGCAGGCGGCGGCCCGACGCACCAGCGGCGCGCCGTGGACGGTGGAGGGTACGGCGCGGCCGCGGCCCCCACGTGCGCGGCGCAGGCGCGAGACGCTGAATTTGTCAAGCACCTCGTGATCCTCGTGGTCGAGCACTAGGTGTGACCTGCACGTGAGAGAGAGAGGGCAAGCCAAAGGCGAGCACCCAGCAGGCGGCGGAGCGGCGGTTGGCGCTGTGCCGCCCATACTGCCCACCAGCGGCGCAGGGGCCAGGCCCGGCCGCCGTCGAGCCCCCTCATCACTGCGCCCCACACACGGTGGCCGCCCCACGGCCCACAAGCGCGCACCTGAGGGCGCCCTGCGGGTGGGAGGCCAGCAGAGGGAGGCCCTCCCCCTGAGATCTCCCATTCTTGCTGCTGGACATCGTGAGGGTCTCACGAGCCCGATGGAGCCTGCGCCATTTGATCGCCCGCCTGCGCTGTATTTTGCTAACGGAACGTCTGTCCTCCCCCTGGACAGGCACAGCAACACACGCCCTCCGCCGATCACCGATGCGCATCGCCAGCGCCCCAATTTGACTCCCCGCCGCCAGCCCGCTGCCGAGCTGGCGCGCCATGGCGCCCACCACGCCACTTTGTTGGTGCCACGGCCACCTCCCCCTTCACCTCACTCCAGCCCAGCATATGCCTATGTCAACTGAGCGCGTTACAGGGGCCGCCTCTGAAGCAGGCAGGCCGCATGCGCGTGAAGCGTGCGGCGCCTCTAACTCTATCTCTGGTGAGGTGGGGCCGGTCGGAGGCCAACAAACAGAGCAAAAACAGGGCCTCTTTAGCCATGAGGGTAGGATGGATACTAAACAAAGGGCGTGGCAGTCGGT